TGCATCGGCTATTTTAGCTGATTTCCCTATACTCTCACGCATATAGCATGTTTTCATGAATCTATCAACATATAGATGGTTTTATAGATTCTTTGGCTTTAGTTTGTTATCATTATCATAGTTGCATCGATCCGATCGAACCTCACTATTGATGATAATAGATTAGATTCAAACTATTTGTAGATTCATTTATATTAGACAGTCGATTTGTTCGCATGTTATACTCTTTTCATCAAACTTATCGGCTCGATGCTTTATGTCGATCATATTCCATTTAGTCGATGATGCTTTCTGATGTTCCATGAGCATTGGTAATTTTGATTCATATCATTATCATTTAATATTAGCCAATAATCCTTGATTTATAGATCTTCATTTCATGGATACGCCGGATATCGACTATTTAGTCGATAGCCTTATTGAATCGGCTATCTATCCATACATTTGGAACTGTCTGGTGCAACACCGACATGTTCCACTTTAAATTACTGATAAGATTTTCTCTCCTTGTCAATTGCAGGTCAAATTGACTGGCACATCGTTGGGTTTTCAGAATTGGCTAGTTCTGTGTTGAAGTCAAGTAGATCTTTGGTCTCGTTTTACTTAGATCATACGGCTTACTGTGTGTTGATCACATCGCCACATTTTTGTGTCAACACACTTTTTGGCATGCTCGGTGGGACCATAATCGTCATGGTGGTTCATGACAACAAGGACATTCTTATGCTACCTTATGAAGACTTACCTGATGAGGATAAAGATGTCATTGGTAAGGCTATAGAGGAGTTTCAGAACAAGTGCTTATTGTCATACACCAAAACACGTGACAATAAAGTTGTTCAGAAATATCCACTGCCGAGAGTTTTGATGCATGGACAGTCAGATACAGACGAAGCTGATGATAGATATTTCTTTGTAGAAGCTGTCAACAAATCTATTCATGATGCAATGCTGAATCATAATACAACTTTCTTGAATACATTCCACAATACCATGAAGGAGGTGTTTCATGGATTTCCGCTTGATCAGGTTGGACTGGCTTATTACAATATTCCGTATCCGTTGACTCAGGGAACTAATCAAGCCGGTACTAGCCATCAAGAAGCAGCACTAGCTAAGAGTGATGATGCCTAGGCAATTCAGAATCCATCTAAGCAAATTCAGGGTGCTACTACTAATCAAATGCAATATAATCCTAGATCATCAGTGCAGCATGTGCAACAGCCGATAGGGCAAGTTCAAAATCATATGGTTAATTTTGGTACATCAGGCCAAATACCACCATCGACTCAAAAAAGAGCATCATCGATTCAAAGGATTCATAGAGATACAGATCCTATTGTTTTCAATCAGAGATTTCACACAGTAAATCAACAAGGGGCCCGACATATAGATATTCCACAAGGATATCATTGTGGTTCAGATTATAATACCCTCAATATAATTACAAATCTAGGATATCAAGGCACTGATAATTTCAATCTGCAGATGGGTCAGTAATTGCCAAGAAATCTAAACTCAAATGCTGATGAATTGTTGCTCAGAGTAACTGAAATGATGAAAAATTAGTTTGGTTTAAAACCAAAAAGGCAGACCTTTTTGTACAAACATCCATATCCAGAGTGGTATGATTTGGTGGCCCTTCCTACGAACTACAGGCTTCCAGAATTTGCTAAGTTCACTGGTCAAGATAGCACAAGTATAATAGAACATGTCAGTCGATATCTTACTCAGTTGGGTGAAGCCTCCGTTGAAGATGCACATCGAGTTTGTTTCTTCTCTTTGTCCCTGTTAGGACCCGCTTTCACTTGGTTTTCATCGCTAGCGGTTAATTCTATTACCAATTGCAGTGATCTTGAAAAGAAATTTTATACATATTTCTACACTGGGATAGGGGAAAGAAACATCACAGATTTGACAACTATAAAGCAAAGAGCTAGATCAGTTGTTTTATCTCTATTCCAATCAAACATAGTATGAATCCAAAGATATGTTTCAATCTCGAATAAACTCATTAGTTAATGAGATCTAATCTAATGACACTACCATAGCTGCATCGATCCGGTCGAACCTCACCGGTAAGACTTTAGATTAGAAATTATCGATTAGTGGTCTTGTTCATGATCAAGATATGTACTCTGTTTGTTTGCTATGACTGCATCGGCTATTTTAGCCGATTTACCTATACTGTCGCGCATATAGCATGTTTTCATGAATTTGTCAACATATAGATGGTTTTATAGATTCTTTGGCTTTATTTTGTTATCATTATCATAGCTGCATCGATCCGATTAAACCTCACTGTTGATGATAATAGATTAGATTCAAACTGTTTGTACATTTATTTATATTAGATAGTCAATTTATTCGCATGTTATACTCTTTTTATCAAACTTATCAGCTCGATGCTTTATATCGATCAAGTTCCATTTAGCCAATGATGCTTTCTGATGTTCCATGAGCATTGGTTATTTTGATTCATATCATTATCATTTAATATTAGCCGATAATCCTTGATTTAAAGATCTTCATTTCATGGATACGCCGGATATCGACTATTTAGTCGATAGCCTTATTAAATTGGCTATATAGGCGTACATTTGGAACTGTTTGGTGCAATACCGACATGTTCCACTTTAAATTACTGATAATGTTTTCTCTCCTTTCAATTGCAGGTCAAATTGACTGGCATGTCGTTGGGTTTTTAGAATCGGTTGGTTCTGTGTTGAAGCCAAGCAGATCTTTGGTCTCGTTCCACTCATATCATCCAGCTTGCTGTGTGTTGATCATATCACCACATTTTTGTGTCAACAAACAGTTAGGTCCAAAACACCCAAACCACCTTCATCCTTTGGAAGAGTAACCATTGGCCAAGCTACCTTTGTTGGCTTTTTACTATTTAAATCTGAGCCCCTCCATAGATAATCTTTTCTATATTTGTCTATTTGCTTGATCACAATTTTAGGGATCAGGAAGCTGCACATAGCATAGTTTGGAAGAGCAGTCATGACTGAATTGGTGAGCTCAAGCATGCCTGCTTCACTTAAATAGGAAGAGAAACACTACTAGAAATATCCACATCTATGACGAATAGCTTTCATCACTGAAGGAGCCAAATTCGTCATAATTTCAGTTTTATGATGAGTTTATGATGGAAAATGGTTCATCATAGAAGTCGCGTCATTCCTTAACTTCTATGATGATTCTAGAAATTCGTCATAGATGTGGATAGATCTATGACGAAAACTGACCATCATAGAACTGCTTTGGCATGCGTAATAGAAGGTACTCAGCTAGACTTACCCATCATAAACCAAAAATAATGTCACTCCAAGGATCATGCAAGGCTTTATAAGTGAAGCTAGCTTGATAATATTTTGCATAAAAAACCACTAGTTCAACTATACATTTTATAATTCGGGTATCAAGTTAATTATAGCTATTCACCTCTAGATTAACAACTAACATGTGCCAAACATGTGATATATCATTATGTAGCATCACAATAATAACCATAGCCGGTGTAGCATTCCCATATCTAATATAACCATCAAATTCCATAGTCCAATTACTACGATGCTGGGACTAGTCGAGTTTCTCACTATCCGAGAGAGACGGCGATTCGAATCGGTTGCAACCAGCTGGGCAGTTATTACTAACACAAACCCAGACTTCCCCCGTCGGGGTCGCGTCGGGTCACCTTTGGTGCAACTTAGGTACACATTTCACGGGTTCGATCAGTGCCGCACAACCAGGGACAACCAGCTGTCAGGACGTTCAGGCCTGGCCTACCCTTAGGCTCACGTTAGGCTCCCCGCACATCCTTACTACCATTCAGAGTGTGCACTCTAACAGAACAAGGACCAACCTGTGTTGAGCTACTCAGCTTCGCGGTCAGAACGAGTTATCTGGCTAGCTATGTGAGAGGCATGCGTTCAATCTCGATAGAAGCGCCAACAACGGTACAGTCTTTAATTGACACAGATGGAGTCAACATAGCCAACCCACACCATGTGCATATACGATCCCACCCGGTCTCCACTTAGATAACATACCATGGTTATTTTCTATGATAGCAAATATAGTCAACCGTGCTCCAGTATCCACCTATCACTACAAGAGATATGACCTTCTACGACGTTCCATTTATGTCGCAGAAAGTGAAAATTATGTCGTATTTCACAATTTGTGACAAATGCATGACGAAAATGCATTCATCGCCTATTCCTCGTAGCTAAAGGTGTTTTGTGACAAAACTAATATTATCGTCGTAATTATGCGACGTTCATACTTGCGTCGTTGATTTACGATGTTTGATTTTCGTCGTTATCAAGTAGAGAGAACATCGCAAAAAATTTGACCATCGATGACTATACATGTGCCACATAGGACAAAAAAGATCGTCATAAAATATTGTTGTCATATGATGTGGCAGGATCTGACATGGCACATTGCAGCTCACAAGAAGTCCATTGAACAATATACAACCCATCACAGCATTGCAGATAGAAATCATTTGTCAACCATCAAGTGCTCACATTCATTACATCATAGATCCATTCAGAGTTACATGTTCAAATAATTTCACATGTCAAACTCAACCCAAAATACATTAAACTCATGTCCAAGTCACTGCCAGATCCACCCAAGTGGCAAAAGCAGCAGCCACATATCCAAGGCATTACCAAATAGACAACCAGATGCAAACCATTACTAGGTCTGAGCCATTGTACCAAAATAAATAAACAACCACATATCCAAGCCATGTTGAGGACACGCATCATGATCAGTAGGATAAAAGGAAAAGGTAAGGAGTGACCTAGTCCTTGTTCAACGTGAACAACCGACGAAGAAGAGCATTTGTTTCTTCTGCTTGTTTCTTCAAATTTCCAATCTCTTCTGTCTGCTTCTCTCTTGCTTCCTCTGATTCCTCAACCTTTTTCTTCAACGCTTCCAACTCATCCTGTTGGCAATGAAGTTGAACTAAGTGCTGCGGCACCTTACTTCTTAGCCACAACTTCAACCTCTAGCTCTTGTACACGTGTAGAAGCAGTAGCTCTTCTCTTACGGACTGCTGTGTCAAGGCCAACATTTCGAAGAAATTTACTTGATGGCAAAACATGAGCAAAAACATCAGCAGGAGTCTTTGGTTGTCCCCCTTCTGGTGTAGGCTGAGCCATCAATGTATCCATTTGACCATAACATGATAAGAAAAATAGTTTGCATTAGTATACAAGTGTAGGTACTTTAATATATGCTGCTGCTGCAAACTGTAGCATGAAACGACTGTTCTATATGCATAATTAAACATTTGATAAAGAACATGTAGCATGAAACGACTATTCTATATGCATAAACTGTTAAAGTAGAAAAGTAGCATGTCCACTTTACACTATGGCAACATCATGTCATATTAAAATTCTGTGATTCACTTAAAGGTGCAGAAATAAAATAGCATTAATATGTTCTCTCTAGTTCCCACAAGCAACAGATGAGTCTTCTTTTCGCAGCCTTGCAGAAATAAAATAATAAGCACATAACCAACGAGGAGAAGCCATGTAGTATTGCAGGAGCACACTAAGCAAGTATTGTAAGTTATTAGACTGGAACTTAAAAGATAGCTAAAGGTTGAGCTGAGTCTCCTAACCAGTGTGGAACTCAAAATTGCTGCTGCTGCAACATTGTAATCAGTCATATAGAAGGTTCATTTTATTGATGGGACATTGTATATTATTAGGTTCATGATATTAATCAGTCTAAGGAGATACTTTCCCACGGTTGCTGATGTTTTTGATACACCTTTCCTATAAGATATATCGTAGTATGAAAGGATCAGATTATAAAGGTAGTTTCTAGATAACTACTACATATATCAATGCCATTTCGTTTTTAGTACCAGCTACTAGTTTGTGTACTGGAAGTAAAATGACATCATTATTTTGCGAACAAATGCAGATATACTGTCCAGCGTATAATTAGACTATTTTGTCAATCATAATTTTAATATGTAAACAAGTTAAGCTTCATTCAGACAAACTGTGAGCAATCAAATTAAATTGTCCATTTAACTCTATACCTTATGCTTAGGGCTTGACCACAGCTCCACCAATGCAATCCATTGTTCATCAGTCATACTCCTCACCGGCGATGTTATTCTGACTTCATTTGCAGGTACTCCATCAAAGTAAGCCCTCTTTAGCTTGTGCCTTAATTGTCGTTGCCCAGTCTTGAACAAATCAAAGCATGCAGCTTCAACTTCCTTGTCATCAGGGTCTATGGAAAATTTGATCTAGTGAAGAGCATGTCAAGAGCACATAGATTAGAAAAGAGGCATTCAAACCATAACAAAAAAGAGAACATTAATTGCGTTGTTGGAAAGGCTTTCTTCTACTTACGCCCATCTTTCCCATGTAGTTTTTAAAAGGATTTTCATTTTCATCATCATTCTTGTACTCCTGCTTGTATAGTTGAGGTCAAGCAGCAGAAGCAAGACAAATGAATTGAAAGCATAGGCCCAATGGATAAATGTGTGCTTAGGCTATTGAATGAAAGAGTAACCTGTAGCACTACTGTAGGCTTATTTAAAATGCATAGATGAATAGGTACTCATCACTCATCAGGCAATTAGTAATTGGTAGTACAGATGAATAGCTATTGTATGTATGAGTTAATTCAAACCTCTTTGTCTGAAAAACAGCACTAATTTCAGCTATCGTAAGTTCTGCAATAATAGCAGAGGATTTCAGTAGGCTGTCTGAAATTAGCATCAGGTAGCTTACTGATCCAGCGAAGGATGCATCAAGTCAGGACAAACAGAGATTGATTTATCTAAGCCGAACTTTCAAAAAAATCTGAAAGATGAAAAAATGATCCCAAGATCATCCACTGTCATCAAGGAACAATACGTTGCCCCAGAACTCATGTGAATTATGATGCCTTGTTAATCCTAAATTAGGACAATATTAACATGAGATCTATCTGTTAGATTCAGACTACAAGCCACATAAGTGATATCTGAAAATATGATATAGACCAAGATGCACAAAAAAGGAATTAGCTAGAAATAGAACAAACTGTGATTAAGCACCAGGAACAGAAACATGATTTTTAATCATTGCAAAAATTGATGAATCAGCAGATACTAATCACTTCCATAAGCTGCTACAAAACATGATTTTTAATCAATGAAAATTTTCAACATGTTTAAAAAGTTGATAATGGGAACATCCAATCCATCAGTGAGGATAGCGAGTTTCTTTCAAACTACACACTACAGTGATCTTCATACTGCTAAGCTGAAAATCCTTGGTGCCAATATAGGTACCAATTTTAAAGGTGATCCATTATATAGATATCAGAAACAAAAAGTTCCAGCCTCCCAATCATACTTTTTTAACACAGCTAGTGCATCTCAGCCCCTAGTAGAATATTGTAGCACTCACTTGTAGCCATACAGATTAAACAAATAGCCGAGATTGTACAAATAGCACTCACTTGTACCCATACAGATTAAAAAATTACAAATAAAAAGACCACACTTGCAATTGTATGGACTACATTTACAATTTAACAATAGGATACACGGGCAAAAGGGAACTATTGAATAACAAAATCATTTGATATGAAATTTTCTAGCAATTCTTCAGTGATAAGGTCTTAAGACAAATAAAGATGGTAGACAATGAACCTTTCTCATTGTCTTCCTCATACATGGTGAGCAGATTCACTACGCTGAAAAGTTGAGGCAAACCTAGAACTGGGGGATTCACTTAAATCCCACAAAAATCAGAGAAAAAAAATGAAAGGGCACTACCACTACAGCACTACACAAGTTCACGCAAGAAGCAACTGAAAACCCTAACAGTAACTCAAAATTTTCAATAGATTTTCAGGAGTTTGTTTACCTCTTGGTTGCTGGCTGCTTGCTCCAATGTTCCGACCCGGAGCCATGGTGCTCCCACCTTTTGAAGTGGTGCGTAGAGTGGGGGGAGGGGGTCACGGCTACTGGCAGGGGAGCGAGGGGGGTCGCACCTTCTGACGGACGGTGCCTACTACTTGAGTCGGCGTGAGGAGTGGGGGGTGGCGCCTGCTGGGGAGCGACGCCCGCTCAGGTCGGGCGTAGTGAGGGGGCAGCACCATGCTACATCGGGGTCAGGCGGGCGGGCGGAGTGAGGGGCAGTGATTTAGATTTGGGAGAAATAGGAAGCATGTGGTGTCGGTGGGATAGAAATAGATGGCGGCAGGAGAAAATTTTGGGACAGTTTTCACCGGGAGAAAGAGGGAGCGCATGGCGTCGGCGGGAGAAGAATGGTGGCGGCAGATGAATTTTTTCCACTCGGCGTTAGTGGGAGAAGAAGCTAGTGGTGGCGGATGAATTTTTTGCTCCCGGCGTCGGCGGGAGAAGATGCAAGCATAGTAGCGGCGGATGGTTTTTTGCTTTGGGGTCCAGAGAGCTAGGGTTTAGTGAGACTGCTGGGCCTAATGGGCTGTTTTTTAGAACATAAAAAATTAAGGGTTTATTGAGACTGCTGGGCCTAATGGGCTCTTTTTTAGAACAGAAAAAAAATTAAGGATGGAAAAGAAAAAATATTGAAATCTCAAAGCTACGAGCAACTCGCCCTATTTTTCGCTCAAAAAATACACGCGTATGGCTGATGGGATTTGAACCTCCGACTTGCAACCTCACGTGTAGCACCCCTAATCACTCCACCTCAAAGTCATTTGAGACTAAATAGATGATATAGACGATATTTTTCTTTAGTAGTCTAGATATTGTTAATCTCATCGAGATATAGAACATTTGGTTTTAGTCGTTTCTCCATCCAATGTTGTTTGGACAATTCAATAAAATTGTAATTCAAAATATTATATGTGAAGTTGAGCTTATCATGTTAAAATTCAAATCATAAGTTTCGACGATTGTCTATTAGCATGTCCTGAAAAATTGCAACTCATCGTAATATGGAAATCCTTCGGTTTACGATGATTGCTTCTAGATCTTAGTGGCGAACAAATAATTTTCGTCGTAAAGTCATACTCCCACCAAATAACATCATAAAACAAAATGACTTAGCGACAAATTTAGCTATCATCATGAGAAAATCATCATAGAAGGTCATACTTCTTGTAGTGTATATCTCGCAGGTGATAGGAAATCACCTGACTTCTACCGGTCTAAGCATGGCTAAGCATATGTTCGATCCTGGACCTACATAGGGTTCAAGGTATATTTCTAGACAAGGTAGTTCTATGCATCAAGTGTTTCCAACCAACTCTTATAACCTAATGCATCAAACATAAATGACTCAAGTGATATTTTGTAAAACATAAGAGGCTTAAAATGCTCCGGGACTTGCCTTTCAGAAAGGAGGTAGGCCTGTGATCGAGGCACTCCGGTAATTCCTTAGGAGCCTGCTCCTCACTTTTGGGGGCTACCTGCTGTGGTGCCTCCTAATTTTCCTCCTTTGCCTCAAACTCCAAGAGTGTGATTCCTTCTAGTGATCCTATATGCATGAGGGCAAAATAAGATACAAGAATGCACGGTAATGATATGGATGATATGATATGATGCATAAATATAAATGTCCTTAACAACAAGGTATTAGGGTGATAACGAGATTAACTTTCTTTTACTGAGTAGGTGCATATCTCCTATCTAGCAACTAAACAAACATCCATTTAAAGCATTTTCTAGACTGCAAGACAGCAGCTACTTGTTTTGACCATAACTAGAGTTTCATAGACCCAAATAATAGGATCTTAGACTTTCTGGAAATCTTATAAAATTACCTACAACTTCTAAAAGCTATAACTCTTAAACCATTGGGCCTATGAGCATGAAATTTTAGGACAAGCAAAATAAGTAAGTTATTTACAACTTTGTTATTAACAAGTTTCACAGGAAAGGTCACTATCATCATGAATTTGTCAACACAATATAAACTACTCATGCAGCCATTTAGTTGAATTATAAAGCAATAATCCACTAGCTTCCTATAACCAATTACTTCTAAGCCCAACTAATAACATCAACAGATCATATGCATCACAAGCACCATAGAAAACATCATGGTTAAGCCCAAATAATTTATTTATATTCATTTATAAATTTTCCTTATATAATAGGGTGATTTAGAGGATAAATATTTTCAGTGCTCAATGAATTCTAAGAATATTACAGTAGGTTACATATAACCCCAATAGTCTATGGGACAAATTTCATGCCATTTGGATATGTATAGCAACCTGTACAAAAATGATAAATTGCATAGGCTTATTTTAGCAAAAATAATTTAGCCTAGTGAAAAGTATCAAACAACAGATTTCATATTTTTCTTACTTTCATCCTAGCATAATAACACTATGTAAAAAAGTGCATGATCATATATTATATATTTTTACCCCATTTATTTTCACTAGAAACTAGCAAATAATCAAGGTTAAATAGAAAGACCATATTTCAAATAAGTCTTCTATAGGTTTAGTATTTTTCCTAGCTAGAGCATGCCAACACAAGACCAAAAAAATGGGAATCATAATTTTTACGCTTCTCTAGCTCAAGTTATGCATTTTACAAGATAGAAACAGATTTAAAAGCACTTATTTAGCTCAATTTAATTCTCCTAGAAAAATATCCTAAATAGAAGGTTTTATATTTTTATCAAATAGTACACTTCATGATGAATCCAACAAAATTTTGTTCACCCAAATTGGACACTCCTAACTCAAGATATAAATTTTTAAAGTTTGCATTTAAATCTGTAAAAATAAATAAAGAAAATCTATTTCAAATCGGGCCCAGCAGCTAGGTACACCCGGTCCATGCACCCACGGGGCCTGACAGCGGGGCCCGTAGGTAAACCAGTCCCACACGTCAGTGACACAGGAGCAGAGCAGCGGCGTTTGACCTGCAATAACTCACCGACGGCGAGGTCATTTAGCGAGGGCCAGCCGCGGCAAGCTTGAGCTCGCGGCCATGGCGGGCACGCTCGGTGCGGCGACGCGTTTCCACGCGGTGGCGGTGGTAGCGGTTAAATAAACGATGACATGAGCATTTATGACCTAAGGCGACGATGGACCAAGGGAGAAAAAGGTAGGAGGAGAAGTGGATAAGGCTAGCCATGGAAGCTCGAAACTCGGTGGCGCTCCGCGGCCATGGCGGCGACGATGACGCGAAATGTGGCTTTACCTCGGCTCGGATGGTGGCACTAACGGGTTGGGAAGGTGGAGCGGCTCACGGTGGAGATGTGGGCAAGGTGAATTGGGTGGCAGTGCTATGTGGACGACGAGCGAGCAAGGCGGTGACGGTGCGGTGCTCCGCTTCGCTTCGGTGAGCATGAGAGAGGCAGAGTGAGGGAGAGAGTGTGAGAATGGGTGAGCGCAGCGGCTTCGCCTCCCTTTTCTCCCCCTACTAGCCTGACCGGATGGGCCGACGTCAGCGAGCGGCAACCACGCGACGCACGCGGCCTAGCAGAGGTCGGCCACGATGCGCTTGGTCGGCCGATTCAAATCGGTCGTCAGGGCGACTGACAATGCCACTTTGCACCTCTATAACTCCTAATCCAGTTCGAGTTAGCAAAAAGTCTATTAATAGAAATTGTAGAGCTATAAGAGATATATAACTTTGCTTCAGAAAGTTTTGTCTAATTCATGATGGTTTTCAAACTACAATGCTCCAAAGTAGGCTACTTTGAAACTGAAAACCAGCTTTAGACTTAGCAAAATTTCTAAGTTTGAAAAAAACATTTCATTGCTACTTGTGGGCTCTATTTGACCATGCTAGGAACTGAATTAGCTCATGATCCTTAAATAAAGTTTGTTACCCATGTCAAGAACTACAACGTTTATTAAGGGTGCACTGCCATGCAAACAATCTAAGCTACTGTTCAACTTTGGTCAAACTAGCATCATGTAAAAGGCATTTGAACGTAAACCAACACTTAGAAGCAAAATTGGCCCATGTCATGAATACAAACATTGTTCCATTTATCATCCTAGATGTGTCTAAGGTGTTTTTGTGACCTCACAACCATCTCTTGCATTGGTCACACATTGTCACTAACATATGCATGCATATAATCAACATCACATGTGATAATATGTAAGAATAAGATGAAATTCCATATGCTCATGCTCATGAATGCTTGGATGATGCTTGTGCTCATGAAATGCAAGTGCCAAATGCAATGCTTAACACTTGGGTGTTATACCCCTCCCCCTTATAGAAATCTCATCCCGAGATTTGGATGACCTACCATTTTTCATAAAAGGTGGGATAAACCTCACGTAAATAATCCTCCCGTTCCCACGTGGCATCTTTTTCACCATGGTTATTCCACACCACTTTGTAAAACTTGATGACTTTGCACCGGGTTACTCTTTCCATTTCTTCTAGCACTCAGATTGGTTTCTCTTCATAAGTCAAATCTAATTGGATCTTAATATTGGTGGGTTCAATGGCTTCATCAGGCACACGAAGACATTTCCTCAGCTGAGAAACATGGAAGACATTGAAGATAGCACTCATCTCTGGTGGAAGTTGCAACTTGTAGGCTACCTTTCCCTTCCATTCAATAATCTGATATGGCCCTATATATCTGGGTGCAAGCTTCTTCTTTACTCCAAATCTTTGTACGCCCTCATGGGCAAAACTTTTAAGTACACATATCTCCCACTTCAAAGGTTAGTGGCCTTCTTCTTTTAACAACATAACTCTTTTGTCGTGCTTGGGTTGCTTCAATATGGCCTTGTATAACTCAAACCTGTTGTTCAGCTTCCTTGACAAAATCAATACCGTAGTACCTCCTTTCCCCAGGCTCAATCCCGTTCAAGCCCCATTCAAGGGGTCCTACATTTTCAGCCATAAAGTGCTTCGAAAGGAGCCATCTTGATATTCTCTTGGTAACTATTATTGTAAGAGAATTCCGCGAGAGGTAACCACTTCTCCCATG